AATCCAAATAAATCCAATAATGTTAACAGCGTCCTTTTTGACAATTTATTTTCCTTTCGTCGTCTCCCTTTGGCCTTGTATCTCATGGTGAAAATTCGCGAAGAAGCGAAATTTCACCGTAGCTGATCGTGTTCCTTTACATGTCACTGACATTCCATAGATCATTTCTCAAAGTCCACATATTGAGGTAGGAACACAGCGATTTTCAGCTATTTTGAAGACGATCAACAGCGTCCTTTTTGGTACCAGAAATCGTACAATTTGACGCTGAAATGGCTGGCGAAGACGCGTGTTTCACGCGAATACTTGGCCTGATCTTCCATTTTATTATCCATGTTTGGTACCAAAATAAACCTTAGAAACATGACTTTCAGACTGGGACTGCTTTAATTTTGGAGGTTTTTACTGGCGACTTGCGCGCACTGGTAAATAGCGCAGAAAGCGGGAAATACTAACGAAAGATAGGCCAATCAAGTCTAGTGTAAACAATGTCAGACCTTTTAAATTGATGCACAAGAGTAGAAAATTTGATCTTCAAAAGTTCAAACCTCAAGGGAACTTGTAGAAAGCTCTATTTTGGTGGGAAAACCYKCTGACTCGTYCCGGGYTCAAATGTCCGGAATTTCTGGCCATGAACTACAGTATGAACAACTATTTGTTTTCGACAATTAAATGTGGTGACGCCCAAAAAAACACAGTCTGTGGTACAGGCCGATAACCCATTGTAAAAGGTTAACCACTATCGTTGAATATGAATGCAAAGCTCTAGAATTTTATTCCAAAACTTGTAATCCATGTGCTTATCCTTGCGGTACGTGGGTTTATTATAAGTAATGCCATCGAACGAGGGGAATTAGTGATTAACTTTCCCAAAAACCGAGGGAAAATTTGTGACAAGTCCCGAGGGCGCAATTTCACGAGAGACATGGTATTACTTTGTAATACTATGATTAGCGAGGAAGTAAGGAAACATCTTTGATATCATGTCCAGTTTTCTAATCAAAGAAGCGTAAAGAACTAGCTCAT